CCGCTGGGTCTCCCTCAGAACCGTGTTCTGACGAAGAGCGGAAGAAGTGACCCTGACCAGCCAAGTGAGGCCAGCGGACTCGCGGTCCCAACCCCATCGAGGGTGCAGACCGCGGCCGGGGCCACCAGGGGCGGCGTCTCAGCGGGCGGCGCCCCGACAAGCACTGCGTCCCCCCTTCTCTCTCCTGTCACCTCTGCCCGCCTCCACCCTTCCTTTTTCCTTCCCCTTTCCCCTTCTGCTCTTGGCGCTGTCGTGGGTTTCCAGAAGCGCCAGTAACTTTTCTTAACACCACGTGGAGGTAAAGGGCTCAAAACCACAGATGTGAGAGCGCCTGGCTGGCCATCCTAGGCCGAGCCCTGCTGGGTGCCAGGGCCAAGCACGGGAAATCTGATGGAGGAGCCGTGGACTTTGGAAAGCAGATAGGGGACAAGCAGGACAGAGACAGATGGGGAAACAAAGGGGCAGAGACGGACAGGCGACTCAGAACCCCTGTCGGGGGCGGGTGAGAGAGCATCCCCTTCCCGCTGGGTGGCGAGCTCAACAGTGCGATTAGTCACGCCACGTGGGCATGCACGGGTCCTGCCCGTCTCGTGCACACAGGCCGCCAGCTCAGCTTCAAGGGGGAAATGGGAGCAGTTCCCTCATCAAACCGACACGATCAGAACGGCAGACCCCACCGCCAGGGAGCCGCCGGGCAAGTCGGCAGACCCTGGCTGACAGCTCTTCCCGGCAAGGCCCGTCAGGGGTAGAGTAGAAGTGAGAAAAATCGCAAAATTCAGATGCTTTCATGCCCTAAGCGGGTGAGACCTTTTAGACTCACCTGTACCCTGAAATGGCCCCAAGACACACTCACAAAACAGTGAAAGCTCTTGGAGGAAAAAACAATTCATGAAAGAAAGAAACAAGGCGTGGATCACAGAACTGGTAAGTGAGCTAAGCACTGGTCAAAACTAAAACTCTGAAATGTCCTGCATGTAGGGAACTCGCCGTGTGGCAGCGTCCTCACTAACTCATCCGGGGCCATCCGCAACCCCCCGCGGAACGCGATGCGTGACAACTTCACCTGTGTGTGGGAAATCAGGGCCAACTCGTCCAATCACATCCTGCTGGCCTTCCCGTACCTGAAGTGAGTCCCAGCTCCTCGCTTAAGTACATTGTGTGGTTGACGGTGCTGCCCAGTTATCCCCAGGCCCGTCCCCGTGAGCTCGCGTCCTGCATGCGCTTCGGAAGCTTTATTTGGAAGTCAAGGAAGACAGAGAGGAAGTCACAGTGAGAATCCTCAGAGTCCTGCCTCCCCTCAGCCGAGGTGGCTTCGCAGAGCTGTAGAACGTGGCCCCGGCCGGGAGCTGACACTGGTGCTGTTCGCTGGGCCGCACCGCCTGCGTGCACACGTGTGCCTGTGCGTCTGTGCAGCTGACCAGTGCGCAGAACCACTGGACTCCCCTCTGCCCCCAAGGGCTACCCGCTCCCCCTCCCTCTCCTGGCCACTGCTAACTGTTCTCCGTCACCACAGCTTCGTCACTTGCAGAAAGTTGCGGAACCACGCCGTACCTAAGATCCGCTGCATTTTAGCCTCCTTCAAATGGATGCTGAGTGTAGCCAAGCAAACCGATTAGAATTCCCTTCTTTAAAAAAAAGTTATTTTATTTTATATTACTCTTCATTTTGTGCCTTTCTCCATCTCAGTCGTGATCCCCGTGGGCATCCCACCCCCGCTTCACCATAGTCGCTTGTGCTCTGCCCACCCAGTTTGGATCTTGTTCCCTCTCTGCCCTGTAGAATGCCTCTGGTTTATAGTTGTTTTTCGTTTTTATTACGATT